CAATATATTTAATTTTCACTGCTTTTCTTCAACACTATTGTTTTTTTTTTAAGAAAAGAAGGGCCCCAAGAAATAAAAGTAACACGTCATAATAACGAAAAATTATTGCATACGGACACCGCATGATCCTGACCGTAGATCACGGTGATCTACGGTCTCGGGCCAAGTTGTATTTGGGTTTTTTAAAAAAAAAAAAATTAAATGAGGCCCACCGAAATACATCTGGATGGAATAGATTAGTGTTTGTGACTTGAATCAACACAAAATTACGGCGTTGTTTTAGTGTTAATATGAAAGGTTGAAATTAGCCAAGCTAAATAATGAATATAATATCCAAAACAAAATTCTCCCTATTATTCCTTCTAAGTAATGAAAGAAATGGGTTTAAATATGGGTTAAATCATCGAATGTGTAAATACGATAGGAATAAACTAAAGAGAATAATAAATTTGTTTGTCTATATAAAAAGAAAACAAAGATAATAGACTATCATTTGTGAATATTTATCTAATATTATCAAAACAATGCATGTTGAGAAGATTTTAAGAAGAATTCTTCTTCACAGTTAATCTGTCTCAACGACTACACATGACCTGTACCTGGCATATGTTGACACCAATGAATAGGAAGAAATTATGAAATCCTAACTTGAAAAAACAGAAACTGCAAAAAAAGTTACAGATTTAGACTAAAAAAATCAAATAAAATAAATTGCAATAAAAAAAAAATTGTCACTCTGAAGGAGCAGGCGTTCCAAAACCCTATCTTTAGCCTTTAAAGCATGGAACAGCTAACCACCACATTTGGGAAGTAGAAGAGGCAAATATAAGCAGCAGCTGGGGTAGAGAAGGCCTAATCTGGGAGGACAAATTTTGCTCTCTATAGTCCATGAGCGTTCTTCCTACTAAAACTAAGTATGAAAAAAAAAAAAAAAAAAAAAAAAAAAAAAAAAACAACACATTTGTTAAGGCACTTGGTATGTTTTCAGGAGAAGTATGTCAGGTTGTCTTAGAGTGGAGAAAAAACTGCCATTTAGGAAGCTAATCCATCAATTAATTGTGCATAGAAACTAAACGCATCACATGCATATGGGTAAGGAGTTCTGGCCTTGCAGGAACATAGGATAATACACAAGATACATCGACCAATGCAAGTAAAAAAAAAAGGGAGAAAAATGTAAAAATGGTCCCTTGATCCTTGGCAAAGGACAACTTTGGTCCCAGGGTTTATAAAGGTTTTAATTTAACCCCTAGATTATTTTAATATATGTTGAAATAGTCCCCAATAAAAACTACTTTAGCACCCATTAAATAAGTCTGGAAATTAATTGAACACTTCTATATACTCTGGTACTAAAATGACCTCATGTAAATAGTTAGAAGACTATTTTGGCACTTTACTCAAAAGGGAATTTTGAAAACTGTGCAATTGACAATTTAACTGTAGGGTGAGTGGGAGAGTCATGCAGTGGCTAGTGATCTTAATGCATATTATGACGCAACATCAGTGCTCGTATTTTTCCCCAAATCAAAAGTTAGCCATGGCAAATCAATAATAAACCTGCTTAGAAAATGAGTTTGCTGCAGTAAAGTAAATGATCAGGAAATTCCAACTATTCCCTCTTCTACCTTCTCATGGATATCCTCCAATGCCAGCATTGAGGACGACCTCGACGCATTCTTTCCAGGTACGCCAACAGCGATCCGAGGGAGAAAGCCTGCACATTTATTTTGACACGACAGATGCTATTTAAGTCCAAATCTCTTAAAATTGTTCTCAGTGAGCTAATTTTTTACAAGCCCACCAATTGAATATACAATATGGTTAAAAATTTAGGAAAATTTACATGCATGCATACCACCGAATTCTTATGTACTTACATATCTAACAACCAAAGTTTCATATTTACGCTTATAATACATTGGTGGCATAAATTTATGCATGAAAAAGTGTATTTCACTTTAAAAAGAAAGTGATGGTGGTATTCTTGACATGAGGTTAAATATTTGAGTGGTATGCATGAAGCTATGAATTTTTTGGTGTTAGATATATAAATACATAAGAATTATGTGGTACCCATGCAAACACCCCAAAGCATTATATCAGGCGGATTTATACTGAACCATAAAAACCCTTTACTGAATGCCGATATCATCAAGCTCCCATCGACGTATTTCAATGACCACAGAACACTTGCCATCACCTATAACTTTGAAAAAAGAATCCTGTTCCCCAATTAAAAAAAAAAGGAAAAGAAAAAGAACAAAAAAGGAGGAAAATAGGAATCATCACACGGAAATTAAGAGAGTAAGAAAGCCCTGCTAGTCAAAACAAGCCTGAAAAAAATGTAAAGATGTGATGCACCTCATGAACAAAAAATGTCTCATGATCCACATTTCAAGCGCAAACAGCAAGGAATCCCTGCATTGATTCATAAAGCTACATTACCAGCTCAAGGCTTGACACATTATCAAGTCTTGAAATTAGAAACAACAAGAACACAGAAATATTGTTCATTATCATTACAACAAAAGAAAATTACCGAAAAGTTCACACATAGCACAGAATAAAAGCAAAGTCACTACAATCATTCAACAAAATAAATTCATTTATAAGAAAAAAACAGAAATATATTAGTTAAGATGAAGCTTAGCGCATACATGAATTTCAACATCTCTGTAGAGCTGCAAGCACAATAATGTTCGCTTACCAGAACAATTTTTAAGATATGGAAGCTTTGGAAGTTTCATTTCCTTAAAAGCAGCATTTGGCCATCATTTCTAGTTAGAATCACAACGAGCACACGTGCACTAAATTGAGCCATTCCTGTAAGATCTCGAGCTTCAGGTCCTGCAAGTAAAACAGCCGATCATAAGAAAACCAACTATCAAGTTCTATCATCTAATAGTCTTTCCTCTCTCATCTTGCTCAAGGATTCACAAGATCAATCGCTAATGCGTAAAAAGTTCCTATTTTCCCCCCAAAGAGTTTGGCATCCAACTTTAAAGAACCTCCCCATCCAGAACATGATCTTCATTATTTGATGGCTTATCATTTATGCATTCCTGAGGATTTGCAACATCCCTGCACCCTGTTTCTAATGTATCATCCTCTTTTAAAACATCTGGAATTCTGAGATTAACAAACGCTGACAAATTCACATCAGTATCCTCAGCCTGATCAATTATATCAGTCTCCCTGATTTTCTGATTACTTTCAAAGAAAGTTGAATCATGGTTAAAATGATCTTTATTATTACTAAAATGATTCAATTCTGTTGATATCTGGTCGTATGATTTTACTTCATTAACCTTTTCAACATTCAGTTTTGACTCTTCACATCCAGCACAATCATCCATAGCCCCGATGGATGCTTTTCTATTTATCAAATTATAACCAGAGGTACAATCCTCTTGCAAGTCTGGAACACCATTAACAAGTGCATTTTGCTTGACAACCACTGAGGCAATTTCTTCCAAATGATCGTGATTGTCAACCATTTTTACACATGATTGTGTTGCACCCTCGGTCGCAAACGAATTTGAACAATCAGGATGTGCCATGGTAGAATGCATGTCCCTATCCTTCCTTTTTGTTGAATGTCTAGATTCTTTAGTTTCACTCCCACTCCTATGATGCTTCTCATACTCCGCTTCTAAATTTTCCTTCTTCCGTCGATTGTAGTCATCCTTGGAAGATCTCTCGTCCAAATGCCTTGAACTTCTATGTGATCTTGAGCTTGAATAATGTGAGGATCTATTCTCATCCTTGGAAAGTGAGTATTCTCTCTCCTTCGTAGCAGAGTCTAGTTTTTCTGATCTTGAGCTCGAATAATATGAGGATCTATTCTCATCCTTAGAATGTAAGTATTCTCTCTCCTTTGTAGCAGAGTCTAGTTTTTGTGATCTTGAGCTTGAATAATGTGAGGACCTATTATCATCCTTCGAATGTGAGTACTCTCTCTCCTTCGTAGCAGAGTCTAGTTTTTCATGTCTTCTATATTTTCTACTTGATTTCTTGTAGTTAATCGAATCATCATTTTCAACATAATAATCATCGGAAGTTTTCTTATGTTCGTGATTTTCAGAGTAGGTATCCCTGCCACGTCCAGACATTCGGTTGCGTGATGATTTCAAATCTGGGGAACCAACAAACTTCTTATCTTCAATCACATCCTCCTCATCCCCAATAGAGTTTACATCCCTCATTAAGGATTCTTGTATTAACGAATTTCTTTCATCCAATTTTGAACTTTTATAATGGCCAGATTCTTGATCATTCTTTACATTCACATGCTCATGCACGCAGCTCCTTTTATGACCCAAATTCTCATCTTTAGATTCCCGGGAACTTTTTTCATCATTAGCATTGTTTTCATCTGTTTTCTTGGTTCTATCAAGTTTCTTAGCTTCCAGTTTCAGCTTTTCTAATCTTCCTGCTTCTTCTTTTTCAAGGGAATAATTCCTTTTCTCAGCTGATCTAGATCTTGAGAGCCTGCCACGAATGGACGAACCGTCATGAACTGGAGAAGACCTACTTTCTCTATGATGCTTAGGAGACCTTGAATTAGATTGAAATGATATCTTTGATCTAGGGCTTTTACTTCCTCTATAACATTTTGGAGATCTGGAACTTGCCCGGGCAGACTTTCTTGGCTTAGGGCTTGCACTCCTGCTCCTGTATCTCATTGAAGAAGATGAATAGTGATCACGTGAGCTACCCTTATCCATGGATCTCTCTCTTTCCCGCCTTCCACCTCTATTGTAACTATCCCTTGGACTCTTGTATTGCCTTCTTTCATCACCATGATGATGAGATCTTGCGGGGGGTGGTGATCTGTGAGATCTATTTCGGGGTGATGACCTGCGATATCTTTTTGGGGATGGTGACCTGCGATATCTTATTAGGAATGGTGACCTGCGATCTCTGGCGTACCTAACCGGAGAATTAGATCGGGATCTCCTGCTTCGACGGAACTTAATAGGAGACTTCGATCGAGAATTAGATCTATGGGGAGGAGAAGCTGGTGAGCTGGTTGAAAAAATGGCAAAGTTAGTTAAAAAAGAGATTACATAACAGCAGTATTCTAACAATAGCTAAGTTAGGTAGCATTTCAAAAGGAATTGAATTTGAGCAAAAATATCAGCCAGAAACAGAAACAAACTCCCAGGGCACCCACTTGAGAGGCATCTACAGAGGCAACATTTTTTTTATAGGAAAATTTACATACATAGCACCTAATTCTTATACATTTACGTATCTCACACTAAGATTTTCATTTTTACAAACACAACACCCGATACTTTCCTACCACACCAAAAAAAGCACTAATCACATTTTTCAACAGTGAAATCCACATTTTTCATATATAGGTAAGTGCATAAGAATTGGGTGCTACGTATGTAAATTTCCATTTTTTATAACAGGAAAATGTACTATTAAAAGCTCATTAGAGTTACGAGGTGTGTGCATTTACATACATAGCCCACACTTCTTTATGAATTTACATATCTCACACCTAAACTTTCATATTTACACACATAGCACTCCATCACATTAAACATAGCACTATTACCGCCTTTAAAAGTCAAATACACATTTACATGCATAGATTTTAAGCACCAAAGTGCTACATATGTAAATATGAATGTTTAGCTGTGAGATATGTAAGTACATAAGAATTGTGGCCTGCGTACATAAATTTCCCTTTTCTTCAGTTTAAAAATTAAGGCAATGATCTCAATATTGAACAGAAACCCCAAGAGATTAGTAAATACATGAAAGATTAATACTAATACCTGGATTTTTTGTCAGCTTCCTTATCATTATCTATCAAACCTTCAGCTTTTAACTTCTTACTGATCTCAGCGGCACGGGCAGATGCCATCTCCGTTGCAGACTTCATTGTTGCGGCTCGAGAAGCAGCCTGCTGGGCTGACATTGCTTGCTGCATCAGCAAAGCCTGCTGAAATTGCATCTGTTGCAAAGCAACGGCTTGCTGCATCATCAATGGCAAAGAAGAATTCATCATGGAGGATTTGGAAGGAAGGGATTTAGCTATCTCAACATTCAAAGGTCGTCCCCCAACATCCATGTTGTTCAATGCCAGCGCTGCAGTAGCTTCTTCTGGTTTTGAATACTCTATGTAAGCAAAATGTTTTGAGTCTGTAATCGTGCAGTCCAACACTGTGCCACAGTAACCAAATAGCTGTTTAAGCTGATCAACAGTGAGAAGAGGACTTAAGTTACTAACTTGTAGTGTCCTTTTCAAAGCGTCAGCCTTTCCAGCCTTGTCCATAGAGTCTATAAGCACAAATGAATCAGTCAAAAATAGAGTCTTCAAGTGAAAAGGCTCTCATATGCTTAAAATGCAAGCATGCAACTCATACTATTTATACCGTTTATCAAGCAGCTAGATCAAAATTTTTTATGTGGTTGAATCATCAAATTAAATCAAAGGCTATGGCTCTATGATACTGACATTCTGTAGTAGTCTATTTTTTGTTAACAAATAAGAAAATATTGTAATATAAAATAATAAACACTAGCAATATCTTGATGGGTGAAGTAAATTGTGATTAATAATAATAATAATAAAAGCATGTCTAGATCATTGGATAACGAGAAGCGTCTGTAATAATGAATAAACTGCCTACATAATTAAATGGAAGATAGGCATAACATATGATTTTTATATAGATTTACACATATCTATATAAAAATTTGGCGCATGCCTTATTTGTGAATATATATAAACAAACACCAAGCTAACGGCAACTCAACTAAAAGGAAAAATTTATATGTTTAATGCAAAAATACAGCTTTAATTAGTTGAGGGAGAGTTTAATTGCTAGGTATTAAAAAAAGGACTAACCTAGTGCATGGAACTCCCGCTACTGCATGGTCTGGGGAGCAATGGCTAGATAAATAACATGGTTTGACCTTACAGGTAATCAAAAGCTTAATCTAAATATTATAACTAAACTAAATGTTTCATCAAACATGAAGCAAACCGTAAAATGTCTTTTATTATGACATAAGAATCAGCAGGACAAATAGTGCACTAAAGATCACAACCCTTAATCAAAATGAATCTAGAAACAGTTCAATGTATGCATAAAATTATAGAACGGCCAGAGATAGTGAGCATAAAACAATAGAATAGAAGCAAGAAGTCAGACCAGATGATTCTTCTATTGATTTGGCCTGTGCTTGCATCTGAGCCGCATGTGCCTGAAGTGCCTGAGCTGCCACTATTGCTTGAGCGGCGGCCATTGCAGCAGCAGAAGGAGCCATAGGCTGCTGACTTAAGGTCCCCATAGTTGTTGTGGCTGCCAATGCCGACATCAATAAATTATGAGGAGGGTGGCTGTACTTGCAGTCACTCTTTGCACACTGTCCATTCAAATACTGCTTACATATCTCTCCTAGAGATGATCCTACCCCTTGTAGAACCACTCCACCGGAAGAACCTGAAGCGACACCTGGAATCATTCCAAGGAGTCCAGGAAATGCTCCCGAAACAGAACCAGAGTAATTAGGCATGTTAGGCATTGTCTGGTTCACCATATTATGGTAAGCGGTAGTGGTTGTAGGAAAGCTGGTCGTACCGATGGCTGGGCCAGCACTGAAGAACACTGGAAAAGGGCTCCCCATAATTTGTTTTCCATTGCACTCCACATGAACCATATAATTCCCACGCTTCGGCACAGCATAAGTTACCGCATAGGTGCCATCCCCCTGGTCCTTGACCATGCCCTCCAGATCCACTCCACCAACTCCAACACCAGGTGAGATCTTAACCTTGATTTGCGAACCACCTGTGGGGATTTTACGTCCATCGGAGTCCTTAGTAATGATACTAAATGTGGAGGGAGAGCAGGCGGTTCCACCTGCAATTCCAGCACCAGCTGCCAAACACTTGGAGGAATCAACAGGACCAATGGGCTTGTTAGACAACTCCTCCTCATCCCTCTCATTATCATCGCTGTCCGAAGAATCGTGCTTCAATTTTGCCTTATCAATGTCCTTAAAAGTTGCCTCAAATGCAGCTTTAGCAGCGGCGTCCTTATCCGCCTCACTCTTGATTCTGGCCTCCTCCGCCTGCTTCATCCATATCGGTTTAGGCGCCACAATAGAACGATCCGCCATGGAACTCTCTTAGAAGCCCTAGAAGGAAAAGAATTAAATCTGATTGAAATTTGGACGAAATAAGACAGATTGTAAAAGAAACTTTCATCCCCCCAGGGATTAAACCCGATGGCGGATATCGACGTTAAATCTTTCGTCGAGAGCTAGGGTTACAGTTTGATCCGGTTAGATAGATAAATAAATAGAGAAAGAAAGAGAGTGGGAAAGAGAGAGAGACCTCAGATCGCGGAAGAGGTGAACGGTTTCGCCTCCCAGATAGCGCCGCTGCTGCTGGTAGGCAAAGGGGTTCTGTGGATAGTTGGCGGACACGATGGAGCGGCAGGGGAGCGCAGGCCGGGATAATGAAGGCGAATAGCAGAAGAACTGGACTTCAAAAAAGAACTTGTTGAATACATTTTGGGAAATTTACATGGAAGCCCCTAATTTTTATGCATTTACTTTTTCCACATATAAATTTTAATTTTCACAAATTAAGCGTATTTATATTTGACAAGATTTATGAAAGGTGGATCACCTTATAGATAGGTTGCTTGGATTGTAAAAATTGAAGTTTGATTATCAGATAAGTAAATGCATAAAAAATTGGGTTATTTGCATATAAAAATCTCATAATTTTTTTTATAACTTAAATCCTTTTTTTAACTTTTAAATAATTTAAATATCACTTGCAAAATTTTAAAAGTTGCATTTTTTTTCCAAAACTTATTATTTAAAATCAAATAGCTTGATTTAAAAAAAAAAAAAAAGGCAATTCTATTATATTAAAAAAGATGAAATCTATTTGTCCAAAACTTATTATTTAAAATCAAATAGCTTGATTTTTTTTAAGAAAATAGACAATTCTATTATATTAAAAAAGATGAAATCTATTTGGTTTGAAGCCCTTTGCGTGCCCGAGTGGCGCGCCACCCTCGACCATGTTTCCGCGTTGAAGCACCAACTTCGAAACAACTGGCATTGAAGTGCCTCAGTCAAAGTGTCAACGGTGAAGCTATTTGAAGCCCGTTGGCGAGTTCCCCACCAAGTTTTATGTCCTCTCCATTCCACTCACGAGTTCTCTATGTTACTCTGTCGAAGCTGTCAGCAAAGCCTCCAACATTGAAGCGTAACGAGCATACATTTTTTTCTCATTCTTTATTTCTCCTTTCAAGTCATTATAGATCCCTTTCATCGAATCTCGCATGCATTCGTGAGTTTTTTAACTTTTTCTTTCTTGTGAGCTCTAGGGGAGAGAGCTGAGGTTTTGTTTCTATTTGGCTTGTTTGTATCAACATTTATTTAAAAATGTCTTGTGTTTGAATTAGGCTCATAATCACTATTCATGTTTGACTTGATATTGCTCGATTTGTTCATGAGCAGCCGCATTTATTCATTCGTTTGTTCGATTTTAGCTCAAATTAAATCTAGCTCAGCTATCAAGCAAAAATTTTCATACTAGCCATCCGAGTTTTTCTGTCTTTAAACTACTGTAAAGTTGTAAAAAAATTTTCCTAACTTATTTGGGGCTACGAAAATTTTCTTATTTTTAAATCTTTTGGGTTGTCCGCTCTCCCAATCGCCTTTCTTTATTTTATATATAATATATATATATAGACACACAATTAATTAATTAATTAATACTAAAATGATATAAGTAATTAAAATTTTAAAATTTTCAATTATTTCGAGCCGGAACACGAACTAACAAACTTTTATTCATGTTCAGCTCGCTTAATTAACAAAAAAAAAATCGAATACAAGATATTTAATGAGCCGAACACGAACTGTTCGCAAATGATGAGCTTTTTTGGCGGCCTTAGTGAGATCTTTGATTTTGTGAATGTTGAAGTTAGATGTTTGTTTATGTTGGGTTTATTAATTGGTTTTTCATGTGATGGATACAAGCAAAAGGCGCACTTTCTCCACTTGGTTTTGAAATAAAACATGGGATGGCTCATTTGTTCAACTTTTAACTTGTATTCATTTTAAATTTATTTCCATAATGGAACATAAGATACAAAGTTAGCTGAGAAAACAGGTATGAAACGAGTGATAATTTTGATATTATAAAAGATTTTTGGAGGTAGGAGGTATTTTTTGTAAATTGTTTATTTCAGCATTAGATCTTTTAGTTGAATTGAATTCTGTGGTGTTTCAATGATAAGTTTTTCCAGTACTTCCTAGTGATTTTAGGAGTCCCACTGTTTGCATTTGTTTCTTATTGAAACTTTTGATGCTTTAATTTACCATAATTAATGATCATTATACAATTAATATCTTATTTTGGGTAATTTGTTTACTTAATTATCTAACCAGCCTATTTTTTTTCGTTCATTTTTCTCTTTTTTTATTTTAAAAGGAGTCGCAAGCTTGTCGATCGTCGTATACTTCTCCCATTCAAATAAATCTCCCTCCTGAACCATATAAATGATTCGAAGAGGAGAGAAACCGATTAAGAAAGGACATACGACAAAGTGAGAAACAAAAGAAAAAGTAAAATGTGGAGAGTCTACGTGAGATAAACCTCGCAATGATAGGTCAAGAATGTCCGCCCAAACAAGATCGGGGGGAGGCACCTTAAACCAATATCCGCGAAAGAAGTATCTACCCAGGTTTATGATAATATGAAGCGAAACTCCTTTTATCGAGAGTATTCTTGGGTATCCCCCAAGATGAGCACTCCCAGAGGAACGTGTTCCTACTGGTTAATTACATCTTGGGGGATACCCAAGAATACTCTCGACAAAAGGAGTTTCGCTTCATATTATCATAAACTTAGGGTATAGGCAACCAAAGGAAGGTTATTCCGTGTGGGAACAGTCCCAATGCTTCAAAGCTCACGCTAACGCTAAGTCATCGGGCAGAGAGTGAGTCTCTCACATCCCGAATGGGTAGCGGCTCATCGGCACACGAGGCCCACAGAATAACCTAAATCATCTTGACGAGGATATTCTAAAACGTCAAAGCACGTCCGAGTCCAAAGGACAGAGGACAAATCGTCGTATCTCAAATGGGCGGCAGCTCATTGGCATCGGGTCATCAAGGTGATATCAACGAGGTCAAGGAGCGACAGGGCTCAAAGGGGCTCAACAAAAAGAAAGGTAGAGTGATCCTAAAAGGTAGAGGTAACTGGGTCGGGGTACCACGGACCCGTCATACACA